ATGATGAAAAATTTTTAATATCATGGATATTTTTTTAGGGGCGTGATAATTGTCATCCTAACTAAGAGATGCTCCTTTAATCATCAGGGTTTCTTTAACTAGTATTTTACAAGCGTAGATTCGTTCCATCCCCAGTGCTATAGTCCTACTGTATGTCAATTAATTCCATTGGCTAATTGTGGTAAGGCCCAATACACTGCAATTTTAATTACACTCTGATCACAATTTTCTTCATGTTATTTAAAATCTTCCCTATAAACACACCACTACGATATTCAGAATATCAGTTCATGTGCCAGATTTAACACCATTTTCATCTATAACTGAGTTGTAATTTTCTCCATTACAGATCTAACCACCTTATGCTCATTACCTAGGTAATACGCTACAACAGTCACGACCATTACCAGCATGTTCTCCAGATTATTGAACAGACAAAGTAGAATCAGCATTAAATCAATATATAGGTTATTTTGGATCTGCATTGTTAATTTGATAGTTTGACTTATGGTCCATCACTCATTCAATTTCACAAAGATGTCAGATCAAAGGTATCAGAAAAAAGAAAACAAAATATACTTAAAAATATTATTACCAATTCTGCTACAAGTAATTCGATGACTTCATTGGTATTACCAGTTCCACTACAAATAATTTGACAACTTCACTGTCACTTGTTCAGTTTAAGCAATTAGAAGATAAGCTTACTTTGTTGTATCCACAGCTGCTTCAGTAGCTGTGTCATCTTCACCTGAGTTAAATTCCAAAAATTTCAAGTTAACAAGAAATGCAGCTTAGAGAGAAATTACATGTTAAAAAGAGAGAGAAAAAAAAAAGAAGCCAAACATGAGTGATTTCCAAAAGGAAACAATGCTTGAAATTTTACAGAAATACAGAAAAGATATATCAGGCATATCAATCAGGGGAATACCCATAACAATGAGTTATTTTGCTGATAATCATTGGAGATACTGTAGAATACAAGCTAGTCTAGAGAAAAAGGTGGGAGCAAAAAGGTACTAAATATGAAATGATAAGGGACAGAAACATATTGCATTTCAGAAAGCAAATCACTACATGTTATCATTTACACTTTACATTTCTCATCCTTCAATTCCACACTATATGCAATCTTAATTACTTACAGTTTGGTAATCATAGTATTATGGTGGTTGTTTGGTGATCTACTATCTGCATATGTTAGAGATTATCCACAGTATGGCATTTTCCACAACTGCTATTTCAAATATTTGGTTCTTAGAGTACTGTGATATTCTGATTAACAACATAATTTACGTAGATAATTAAAATTTCAAAGAATAACCTTCCAAACCAAATGCTAACGATCATCAATGCATTATGTCCAAATAGCAAATCATAATTTTTCTTTGCTATCTTGCTGTTATTTAGATGATTGGATATGGTCTGCACCCGCAAATTTAGACAAACAAAGATGAAAGATCAAAAATAAAAGCTATATAATGGTTCTGAAGATTAATTGGATAGTATAAAAGCTGCCTGCAGAAGAGTGTGCATAGGTACTTGCAGAATGCTTGGGCATAAATATCACATATCTAACATATGTTACACATACCCAGAGCACAGAGATCTCATTCGGTAATTTTCCATCTTATAAAGGAAAAACTGACTCTGATTCAAAGGCCTCCACTAGATGCTACTACTACTAATAAGAAAACGCAAACAGGAAGAACTCTCTAGTGTAAATTATCTCATCAAGAAATAGTCACTATTTAGAATAGAAAACAAAACTAAGCATACCCAATGTCCCAGAAAGCGGATCTCTAGCACCCTGGATTAGAAAGTGGTGCATGTTCAGACAATGCCAAAAGGAATTTACTTTATGTTCCAAATATATATGTTCAACAGTCAAGAGCATTACCTGTGAATATATTCTCCTGGCCCCTTCCAACTGTGCCATCTCTGCATCATATGTATTGGCTGATTCCAACACATCTGGTGTACTGACAAACCGAACAAACCTACAGCCCACAATTACTCTTAAGAAATCTGAACAAGTGTTATTTTCCAAGCAACTAATAGTCCAGGTGAGCACCGCACATCACAGATCACAGAATATGATTGAGAGACTCGAATTTTACTAGGAGAAATTACAGAATTAACTCAAACAGACCTTTCAAGAGTTCCTTTTTTGAACCATGAGCTGCTATTTTTCGCTCTCTCAACCTCAAGCTTTATTGAGTTGCCTGCCTGAGCAGCCTGGTCTTCCGCGACCTTCAAATGAGCAATGAATGGCTTCAAGAAACCAGATGCAAGCTTCTCGGTCTTCCCATTTCCCGAGACGAACAACTCACACCTGCAAAAAGTGCTCTTTTTTGCAAGATTTTGCCAGAAAATGAAATCCCAAGCCCTTTTTGACCGAACGTTCTTACCGTGACCGCCTGGGGGAGAGCTGGAACACGGCGTAATCGAGAGGAGTATCGGAGTTCATCATTCGACACAGCAAAGCATCTCCTTTATCAGCTCCTTCTGCAGCTCACCTTCCCCGCAATCCCCAACCCTCGAACCCCTGCAAGATTTCAAAAGAAATTCTAGGATACCGCTTTAATTCCAAGAAAAGAATATGTATAAACATCACATCTTATAGGCCACATCAAGATCGAAGCGCGACCAACATCTACCCGACCCAAATATCCACCGGATGATCCGCTCCGTAACCAAAACCCTTAACAAGAAAAGCACGGATTCAACCGACTCGTCACGGATATCCACAATGCGGGATAATCGAGCGCCGGAAGAGTTCCGAAGACCCGATGAAGAGCTTCAAGCAGCGGCCGGAGGCACTAGGATCGCATCAACTCCAAGAACGCACGTCACCGGCGCCTCCGAGGATCTCCAAACTCGACCGACGTGGGATACCGACGAGGGGCAATGGCCACGACGGTGGGGTCTTATAGCGATGGATGGACGCGGGGGTGGGTGCGGCGGTCGACGTAGAAAGTGGGATCGACTCCTAACGGAGTGTCGCGTCTGGTGGAAGAGTTGGCCTTGGCGTTCGCTTTACTCCTCTCTCACTCTCTCAGAGATTGATAGAGAGGCCGAGAGTTTGGTGTCAGCTGCTCTGCTGGAGAGTACAGTACAAAAAATACCCCTGGAATTGTAATTACGTGAATGATATATATATATATATATATATATATATATATATATATATTATT